TTGGGTCGGCCATGGATTGAATATCTTACGCAACAGAAATCTCATTATCCGCTGAAAAAGACGAAAGAAGTGGTCTAATCGCGATGAGTGTTGCCCGGGAATTTTCTATTCTGAACCCCCCCCCCCCCCCTTTTAGAAAACCTTGGATGCTGCGCCCTTGGTTATAGATAATTTTATATTTGAATCACTACCACATTTCGACACCACTGTTGTCAAATTTTATTAGTGACGTTAATGCTTCTTCACAGATACAAAATTAACCAAGTCAGTTTTTTAAGTGAACGAATACCTCGCGAAGCCCATGAGTGGGTTTAACGGAGCCCTGAGGCTACGTACGGAGCACTTATAGACCTATACAACAGATAGATACCATATTCAAACTACCGCCTGATTGACACATTTCAACACTACTTAGTTAACATGTTTGTCAATGGTCAAATTTACAGCCCAAGTATATATAGAATTCAACTGTGAAATTTAGATTTTTTTCTAGCTGTATAAACCCCCTTGAGGAGGTTTAGTATTTTAATTGAGTAGAGTAATTTTAATTTACCCAAGGACAATAATAGGTAATAACTAATGTTTTTTCTTTCTTTCATAAATTCAGTGTGGGGCTCCGTGAATAATTGTCAGCCATGTTCCGCAAAACCAAAAGTTTGAGAACCTCTGGCGTAGACAATTGTATTGATTTGCAGCAATGCGAGGTTGGCAGTATATGTGTCGAATTGCTTGATAAAGACAAATGATAAGATTTGTCTATTCTGATTTAGGTATTTAGGGTGCTGTTGCATTTGTTATTGTAAGGCATTCTTGATTAAATATCAAATTTAGCAAGGTTGAAGATTTTAAAGGTAGCAAACTGCTTACTGGAGAATATCCAAAAAAGCCGCCAGCGGAAGATACAACGGAGAAATAAGTGACAACCGAACACCGTATGCCCCTTCAAACATTTTCGTGACTCCAAGCAGTGGGGATCAACGCCCGACAAAAGACTCATCTCTAGGCCCTCATCGGATAGAAATACATCACTCAAATCATACATTTAAGCGGAAGAACATCTAATAATGTATAAAAATTGGTTTCACGTGAATTCCTAAAAATGATAATTCATGTCCTCAATGTGTTGTTTGTTCCAACGATCAAACGTTCCTCATGTTCTCACCCACAAAATCTTGAAATCAGCGATATTGAAATGCCATCTTACAGCAAAGCATCCAAAATTCATTAAAAACCAATACATTTTTCTCCACTTATTAGCGTTTTCATACATAAAATACAATTACAGATCAAGGCTAGAGGTAGAAAAATATCTTCGAGTTGCCGTCTCCCAAATTAAACCTCGATTTGATATGTTGTGTATTATACACAAAGCTTATAATTTGCATTAGTCATAATAAACACTATTATTCCCAGTTTTATGTGATAAGTTTCATATAATTTTGTGCAGGAAAAATGCTAGTGTCGACAATAGTCTTAAAATCGATAACTAGTTACATGCTTATTGCTTACCAAATGCTTGGGTCGCGAGCAGTTAGGAAAAAAAAATTTGGGTTGTGCTAAAAAGTAGTTGCGGACCACTGCTCTATAGTAGTAACGTTAGTTCTCAATTTTTTACTTACTGAGTACCGGTGCCACTTGATTGTTTTTTTTCTTTCCATGTACCACTGAAAAAGCCGCTTTTTGGATGGGGAACAATGACACAGAAAACGGGCTATGGAAGTATTTTATAATGTGGCACTACATCCATTTTTTCAGGGACAAATTATAACCAGTGGCAAAGTTACAATGCATTAAATATATGCAGTAACAACATATTATTTGCTCTCTTCGTTTCTGATTTCCCAATGCAGACAGACAACTTTGACTTGATATAAAACATGCCAGTCTCTTTCGTTTTAGGTGTGTAGTGGCAGGTTAGGGCAATCCGTTAAAAACGAGGAATGGATTGCATGCAATATAAAAAAAATTAAGAGAGATAGTGTTGCTCCCATAAATTACCAAACCTAAAAATTTGTTGTT